AAAGATGGCTACAACCAACTTCCTAGCAAAAGTACGGCACCCATTGAATGCGATAAACAATCTGTTTCCAAAATGGTTTCCTGCTGCCTGCCTCACATAATAAAAACCAACTGTGAATCAGTAAGCTGCCATCCGCCAGTGCATCAGCCAGTCAAAGGCACTTGAAACATGCTTAGCCCCCAAATCAGCCCCCTCATGTTTGAGCCTTTGACTGTGAGTCTTATGTAAGTCCCGTACAAAGGAAAACAATGAATTCTGATTGTGTCAGGGAAAAGAAAAAAGAATAAGAAAGAAAAAGTCAGTAAAATCTCTGCATTCTCAAGCATGTTTCAAGTGCCCTTGACTGGCCGATGCACTGGCGGATGACAGCTTACTGATTCACAGTTGGTTTTTATTATGTGAGGCAGGCAGCAGGAAACCATTTTGGAAACAGATTGTTTATCGCATTCAATGGGTGCCGTACTTTTGCTAGGAAGTTGGTTGTAGCCATCTTTTGCGTTTGCTTGCATAGCTATTTTACATCTTACCAGTTGTTTGAGGGATAAAGGAGCTGCATCCACATGTTTAGCTGCAAATTGTATACTGTTCCAGTATAGAAAAGGAACATGGGTGTGTGTGGGGGGGCAATCCCAGAAGAATGATTAAACTGATTGCTGCAATTTATTTCCATCATTATCATTAAAAGAAATGGGTGTATAAAAATTCATAAAAGAAAGACACAAGCCATCCCTTGTGGCTGTTTCAGAGGCCAAGACACAACCCTTGCACTGCTGCCAAATAATTGGGGGGGGGGAACACATTGGCCTCAGAAATCACATAACTTTGCATTGTGAAGAGCCTCAGACCATCCAGCCATTGCTGCCCAAGAGCATTTGCCTTCTGCAAGAAGCTTGCAAGAACAAGAGGTTGTATTCATTTGCAGTGAGTAGAGGCAGGGAGCTATTAGGGTGGCCTTCATTTTTTCTTCCTGCAAAGAAAGATCTTGCTCATCAAGGCACTTTCTATGTTTATTCTGTTATCATCAGTTGTATATTTACATGTCTAATTCTGGTTGTGTTTTAGACAACAGATAATAAAACAGTCCACAGAATTGATCTGCCGAGCTTACACTGAACTGTATGCAGCTGTGATGAATCCTGATAATGCTTATAAAGATCCGGAAACTATATTATATAGATCTCCTCATCAGGTTCAGTCGCTTCTCTCCTAATCTTATCGCCCAAAACCTGCCTTTTAATACACCGACTGCATTACATGAGAACGGACATTGTGCAACTTTGAAACGGGCAAGGACAACTTGAGTTTTTTTCTTGAAAAAGACTGTTTCTTGGGTTGCAATTATACATGTAACTTAGCTGAAACCTCACTGACTTTTTTGGGCTGTGTGTGTTAAATTGTGTTGCTGGACGGCAGCTTTGCTGCACGCTGGCATTTAAAGTAATTTATTACAACTTGGGAAAGCTTTGTCATAATTCAGATTACTCTTTATTGTGATGATAAAATAAATGGTGGAACCAAAGCATTTTCTTATTTTGGTGATTGAGCCAGTTTTGGTATTGCCCTATTTTTCCTTCAAGAGTTTTTAACAATTTATGTTGAGCCTATGCACAAACCACACTTTAGTTTATTTGATTAAAATCCCAGTGCTAATACTCCCAGATTTTTTGAAAAATATCTTTTGTTATTGATTTAGTGAGTAAAAAAACAAAAATTTAGCAAACTCTGGTAGGAATAATTTTTTGGGGAAGAAGGACTGGATTCCATGAGTTTTGCATTTTTAATGGCACTGAATTAGGATAGCTTTTCAGAAATTTTATTTTTAAAAAATCCTACAAGTTGTGTCCTTTCTGTAATCAAGCATTCAATATGCTAGCAATGAAGATTAAAAAAAAACACTTAAAATTTAAAATCATTAATACTATTAAAATAACTAATAAGATGCAGCTGAAGAGAAAGGTCTCAAGCGCTTTCCTGAAAGTCGGAAGAGAAGATTGAAAATGTGCACCTAAGGCTTTTAAAAAGGATGGGAAGCTATATTTTTGCTAACTTGCAAAAGTAAAGTAAATATTAATGGGTAAGCCCACATAACACTAATTTCTTTGCTCATAGCTTGTTCTTCCCATGTGCCAATTTGTCTCCAAAATATTGGAGAATTGAAGAGCTTATGACAGATAATGCACTGAAGACAAATTGCCTGTGTGTCCAATCACACTTGGCCAATAAAGAATTATATTCTACTCTATTCTGTTGAATGCCTGATTGGGAAGCTTGATCTCCTCCTTATAGATCCTTGGTGCAATTCTGTGCGGCCTAGTTTGAAAATGCTGGGATACATTTCCAAGTACAACAGATTCTGTCAGCTCCTCTCCATTAGTTAATTAGGAAAGAAAGACCACGAGACTCCATGCGTAGAAATCAAATGTACTTTTACTAATTAAGAATGGTTAAAAGGCAATGCATAGCGAAGTCTGATTAATTAGGCGCGAAAGCAGTTGATATATAGAATAGCCCATTCCCACCCCTTGGCATCACAGTCCCAGTCTAATCATAAGTCTTCCAAATATCAGGTGCAAGATAACTTCAAAAGGCATCACGAAGATGGAATGTCAATGCCGTTAGACCTGGCGGGAAACACCCATGCATGCGCAGGGTTAGGGGAA